AAACCAATAAAAACTTTAAAAAAAAGAAGTTGTGGATATACCGGATGTTGGCAACCTGTGGCTCCAGAGCTACAAGTGGCTCTTTGACCCCTCTCATGAAGCTCCCTGCCGACCCAGTCGCACAACCTACTTTCCACCCTGACATACTGGCCCAGTTGCGTGAGTTGCTCTCTGCCCCGAGAAGGCATGAGCCTCTCCGCAGAGCTGCATGGCTGAAGCGCCCCTTGCGTTTTCTCTGCATTGTCCATGACCTGCTGCCTTTTGCTATTCCATGTCCTTTGCATGCAGCTCAGCATCAGCTACGATCCCCTTCATGTCAGCTCAGAAAGGAGAGGAATGGGAAGGAGCAGCCGCCGATGTGGATGCAGGAAGGGAAGAGCTCTGGCTCTCTTGTGCAGAGCAGCCAGCTATGCACCTGAGTGTGCAGTGGCGGCAGCAGAAGTCACCATTGCCACTGCCACTGTGATCTAGGTTCAGAAAGGTATCCCACTTGTGCACACACACGAGAGAGAGATGAGAGAGAGAAAAAGAGAGAATGACAGAGAGAAATGAGAAAATGATGGAGGGAGAGAATGAGAGAGAGGAAATAAAGAAACAAATGAGAGAGGGAGAGAAGGGGGAGAGAGAAAGGAGAGGGAAAGGGAGGGAGAGAGAAAGGAGAGAGAGCTAGTGGAAGAGAATGAGAGAGGGGAAAGATGGAAACATATGAGAGAGAAGGGGACAGAAAAAAAGGGGAGAAAAAAGAAATGAGAAAATGATGGAAGGAGAGAATGAGAGGAAAAGAGAAACAATTGAAAGAGAGAAAAGGGGAAGAGGGGGAGAAAGAAATGAGAGAGAGCTGGAGGGAGAGAATGAGAGAAAGGGAAACAAATGAGAAAGAGAAGGGGGAGAGAAAAAGAAAGAAAGAGAGACGGAGAGGGAGAGGAAGAAGAAAAAAACAAATGAGAGAGAAGTGAGAGAGAAAAGGGGAGAAAAAGAGAAAGAGACAGAGAAAATTGAGAAAATGATGGAGGGAGGGAATGAGAGAGAGGAAAAAGAAACACAAATGAGAGAGAAGGTGGAGATGGGTGAGGGAGAGGGACCCATTTCCCATAGAAAACACTGGGAGCCACAAAACCTAGGTAGGTGTGGCTGGGGTTCATGTGACTAGGTGGGATTGATGTTGAGTTGGCCATGCCCACCCCAGGTTTGTGGCTCCCGGTGTTTTCTTTTCTGTGGGAAATGGGTCCAAATGGATCTTTGAATGTTTAAGGTTGCAGACCCCTGGTACCATCACTGGAGGTTTTTAAGAAGAAATTTGTCCATAATAGTATAGGGTCTCATGCGTGAGAGGGGTTGGACTAGAAAACCTCTAAGGTTTTCTTTATAAAACTCTCCATTCAGTCTTACCAAGAGACTGGTGATAAACAATACTTGGAATTGTACATCAGGCCTTCTGATAGCAAAATCTCATCTTATTGGCTAGTATCAAGGGGAAGATGACTGAAAAAGCTTCCTCACACACCATAACATGCAAGACGAGAGGAGTGGAGGCGTGAGAAGAGGCCAGATGAGGCATCGCTCGATGTGAGTGATATCAAGTTGGCCACACCAACTCAGTCACATGACCGACCACCTAGCTACACCTACCCAGTAGTCATTAGGTCAGAGAACCAGTTGTTAAATTATTTGAATCCCACCACTGTGTATAGGTTTTCCTGCTTGAGCAGGGGGCTGGACTATAAGACTTCCAAGGTCCCCTCCAGCTCTATTCTATTCAGTATTTGACATTGCAACCCTTCTTTTCATTCTACCTTCATTTTTAATCAGTATATGTTCCTTATACCAGTCAACTACAAAAAAGTGATTTTTCTCTCAGTCTCTTCAGGCAAAAGTATGAGTGGTTTCCAGCAGCATTTCAACTTTGTGTCCCCCACCCAAAGCACATGATTAATTATGTGCAGTCAATCCCTCTCAAATTTGTTTGTGAATTAGGGATGGGATCTCCTAAATTAGGACTGTCAAACTCATGGCCTGTGGGCTGGATGCATCATGCGCTGGCCACGCCCAGTTTAGCGAAGGGGAAAAAGTCCCAAAGTGATGTGAGTTTGACACCCTTGTCCTAGATTAAGAAACAGCTAAACTTCATAAATCAAAAAACATTATTCTCAAAAGCTATCAAATTTTTAATTTGATTAAAGGAGTTTCTAATGAATGTTACATTTTATTATTGCCTTTCAAATTATAATCAAAATAAAAATCCTAATTTCATTATACAATGTCAAAAATTTTAAATGTGTATTCATATTATAGTTATCTGTTCACAACTATAGAAAGTTAGTACCCACCCCCTCCTAGAAGAATGAAATATTATAGGAAATATTAAAAAGGCAGAATATTGTGTTTGCCTGGATGAGAAAGGGAGAAACATGTCTTTAAAGACAAAGCTGCTCTCTGCAGCTCCCTGCCCCCACTTCAGCACCAGAGTAATGGGATCAAGGCATGATAGGATTAGCCCTCTACCCATCTCACCACATGGCACCTGGGAAGATTGCATCACCCAGCAAAATAGAATAGAATAGAATAGAATTCTTTATTGGCCAAGTGTGATTGGACACACAAGGAATTTGTCTTGGTGCAAATGCTTTCAGTGTAAAAGAAAAGATACATTTGTTAAGAATCAAGAATCATCAGGAACAACACTAAATAATCGTCAAATGGTACAATAAGATTCAACCAAGCTGCATGGTTCAACTCCATGGAAGTCTGACAACTGATCAGGACAGGGGTCTCCAACCTTTTGGACCTCAGGACCACCAAATTCATAAGTTTAAATCCCGCAGACCACTAATATGAATCCAGCATGCCACTCGCTGAAGCTCCTGGACTCCCACAGCCAGGATGGCGTCCTTCAGGCACTTAGCTTGGCTGCCTGCTTCTGCAACCTTAAATACTCGAGTCATTTGGACCCGTTTCCCACAGAAAACAAAACACCTCTCATCTCTCTCTCTCTCATCTTTCCCTCCCTCCCTCCCTCCCTTTTCTCTCTTTCTCTTTCTTTCTCTCTCTCTGGGTTTTGGGGGTGGAGGGAAAGGAACCTCTGAACTGGTGCTGGGTGATGGGAATCTAATGTCCGGAGCCACATACTGAAGACCAGATGGTTGGCAGGGAGATGGGGCAACAGGAATTATACCAGCAGAAGATAGACTGATGGACGTGGGGAGGGTAACGTGCAGGAGATCGTGGCATCTGAGCCCTGACCTACAAGGGGATGGGGGTGGGGGCAGGGGTGGGATTCTACCAGTTCGCACCTATTCGCTAGAACTGGTTAACATTCTAAGCAGTTCGGAGAACCGGCTGTTAGAAGAAATTACTGGCCTAATCCTGTAAGGAAGGCAGGAAGGAAACATTCTGGTGTTGCTTACAGAAACTGCCTTTCTGTTAACCCTTATTACATTCTTGGCAGGACTAGACTTCCTGTCTTTGGAACTTCTCTGGAGTTTCCCCCCCTCCTTTGCTGGTACTTTGCTTGTGTGGAGTGACCATTGAAAAAAATGACTTATGACCGTTGCAGCATCCTCACAGTCATGAGAGGCCAGGCGAGGACATGCATACCTCGATGTGAGTGATATTGAGTTGGCCCTGCCCAGCCAGTCACATGATCACCAAGCAATGTCCACCCAGTCACATGACCACCAAGCCACACCCACCAACTAAGCCATGCCCACAGAACCGGTTGTTAAAAATTTTGAATCCCACCCCTGGGTGGGGGGTGTTCCCTGACCTGCGTGGGGGTGGGGGAGAAGGAACCTCTGAACTGGTATTGCCTTGTGCCTCTGTGCATCAAGGAGGCTGAGCAGCTGCCAGCAATAACCTCAGGTGAAGATGTTGTGAGGGGAGGCTCAACCCTTCTGCTCAGGAGCCGCAAAGTGCTTGCCGCCCCTCTGGCAACCGCCAAGCCTTCTCCTTCTTGCTGGGCATGAGCGCTTCCTCTGGCAAGAGGAAGAGAAGCATGGTAGGAGGAGGCTTGGTGGCTACCAGAGGAGCAGTGAGTGCTTTGTAGCTCCTGAGGGGTCGAGCAGCATTTCACTTGAGAGAGAGGGCATAAAACCAAGGGACTCTAAGCAGCTCTTCCCTTTTTCACCCAGGAGCTCCAAGGCATGTGATCCTGTCCACCATTAAAAACATCTTCCCAGGCAGTCACCATGTTTCTGGTGTCTTTCTTCCCACTTGGAACTGAACCCAGATGGACATTTCTTCCAACACAACCATGTAAAGTTACTGATTTTTAGCTGGTCTTGGCTTTTATGCTTGAGTTCTTCCCAAGCACCTGAGATGTAGTAATGTATTGGCATAGTATAAGTATGGATACAAGCAGTGGTCTTTTGCAATTGTGATGAAAATTTTGTAAATTTGCAGATTTGTTGTTCAAAACTTTTGGTGTGGCACCCAGTATACCATATTGTTAGTCACACAATAATCCTGGCTGCACCTGACATTTTATCCAACTATTATTATGGCTGGTCCCAGTCAGCCAGTTATTTAGACTGGATCATGATGTCGATAATGATGACTTACTTATTATGAAAAAGGGAACACGGCATCAGCTAAAGATTTAGGGTGATTTTCGGGCTCAGTGGCAGTTATCACACACGTAAAATCTGTAAATTGTTTCCAGAACAGAGCATTGTGTGTCCCTACAACTACATTCACTTTCTTTAAACGGGTTCTAGCATCACATTGCACCTGCATTTTGTAGTCAGGGCAGATTAGAAGAGAGCGTGGAAGGAGAAACTTAAACGAACAGTCAAGAAAGTGTTTTGATTGGCTTAAAAGAAAATCATTTCCCCCTTTACTAAGTCTCTTGATTCGTCAATATACACTCCCCGTAAGTTAGCACCAAGCAATCACTACCCGCGACCCTTGCCTCAGTGGAGGCAGGGCTGGATAAGAGAATACGCCGTCCGGTAGCACTTTCTCTGCCATTGCCGTGTCCGCGCTGTAGCGCAGCAGGAAGGAGGCGGGGACGCCGACACCGGAACCTCTCCTGCCCCCGGAGGAGTGAGTGGAGTCTGCTAGACGGGGCACACGCAGGAGGGGCGGCGGCAGCATTGTCGCGGCGGGCGGTTCCCTTTGCTGCAGTAGCAGCAGAGGGCGATGCTGATTTTGATCATCAGCCGCGGCTGCGAGCCAGTCCTGGCCTGAGGCACGAAGAGACAGCCAGACCTCGACTAGGTTTGCCTTGGAAAGTTCAGGATGGGGCTGAGCACGGCAACCGCCGTAATGGTGTTGCCTGCAGCGAGTCTCACTTTCTCAGAGGAGAGAGGGCTTCCTCGGGGCTGAGGCGGCCTCTTTTTCCTTGCCGGTTTCTCCCTCAAGTGCGTCTTTCCGACGTTGCTTTTCTCTTCTCCCGACTCGGGCCGGACGCATTCTTGGCCCACAGCCGCAGAGAAGAGGCGACTTCGCCACCACCTTTTGAAGCCATCGGTGGAAGATGGCGTGGGTGCTGAAGATGGACGAAGTAATCGAGTCTGGTCTGGCGCACGACTTCGATGCCAGCCTCTCCGGCATTGGGCAAGAGCTGGGCGCCGGCGCTTACAGCATGAGGTGGGTGTCCTGGCGGAAGGGACTGGGAGTCTCCTTTTGCCCCTTTGCTCTTCTGATGGGGAAGAAGAGCTCACCGACGGTACTTCCCTTTCGGAGGAAGTTTGGCTTTTCTGTTATGCTGAAGTAATTGCTAAACTGTTTTGCTCGCCGTGAGGCATACCGTCTTGGCGCCTGCGGGAAGGGGCTGCTGGCTTGGCAGGCTCCTTTCGTCATCTTCAATTGCTCCTCCCTTGTGATTGGCTGCCCTGCTTTCAGGAACCGGCGAAACGGTAGCCAAACAGCGCTCCTTTCGTTCACGAAATCAATAATAGATAGTTGTGTTAGGAAGGTAACTTCTGAAGTTAACACACTTACTGGCTTTAATCTTCGAAGCCTTATTAGTCCTTTCCGTGGAGGAGGAAGGAGCCTGAGCCCGGATAATTCCAGAAGCAGGGCTGCCATTTGGAGTCCTTTGCCATTTCTGCCAGAGGCTGCTACCAATCTGTCAGTTACCTTTGGAAACTAATTAGAAGATACTTTTTAATGGTATTTTGAACATATAATACATTGTTGTGCCTTTTTTTCTTTATGCATTTTCTTTCATTTTTTAAAAACTGTTTTGTACTTTACCAATTTTCTTTTACTCATGTAAAATTTGTGTACAAAAATATTTTAAAATCGTAGCACATTCTTCTGATCTGACTATAATTGTTTTGACCAAATGAAGCGGTTTTGAAATATATAAGTTTATAAACGTTTTTTGGGTGATTTCTGGGTATAAAAATTCAGGTAGTTTTGAACTTAAAACCATTTATTTAAAATTTTTTTAAATAACCTATTAAAGATTAAAAAGAAAAATATATACAATGTTTAAGATACATTTCATTGCAGATGAAACCAATATACAAGTACAAATATAAACATAAAACATATATTTCTAATCAGCTAAGATGGTGTGATCATTTGTTGAAAACAATTTTACTAATATTCATTTTCTATTTTTGGTATATGCTCTTAATCTAACCACTTCATTTTTCAAATCCTTATCTTTTAGTTTCCTGGTTTTTCTCCTTAATCCAACTATACCATTTTTCCCAAGCTGTACTATATTTTGAGTCTACCTTATCCCTAAGTTTTTGTGTAAGTAGGTCCATTTCAGTGCAGTCAAGAACTTTCTGAATTATCAAATTATTTGTTGGCATTTGGTCACCCTTCCAACATTGTGCCAACGCAATTCTTGCTGCTGTGATTATATGGAGAATTAAGCATTTCATTTCTTTTGCATAGATCCCCTTTTAACATTCCCAATAAAAATATTTTGGCCTTAAATTCTAACTGTATATTTGTAATTTCTTCTATCCAAATTCTAATTTTTTTCCAGTACTTTTTACTTTTTGGGCAAAGCCACCAAGCATGAAAGAAGGTACCCCTTGTTTGCTTACATTTCCAACAAGTCGGATTTAAATATAGGTACATATTCGCTAACCTTGAAGGTGCCAGGCACCACCGGTAACACATTTTGTATTGGTTTTCTTTATAAACAACTGATTTTGTTATTTTATAATTTTGTTTCCAGACTTTTTCTCAATCTTCCAGATTAATGTGCCCTATGCAATCATTGGGCCTTTAACTATTTCTTTTGCCATTTCAAATTCTAATAGATAATTGTACATTTTAGAAATTAATTTTTCATCCATTCCCTCTCATATTTTACCTAATTGGTTCGGTTTTACCTCAATTCCAAATTTTTCTGTATCTTTTTTATATCTTGTCTTAAGTTGTAAATACGGCCACCACTCTATTTTCATCCCTTGTTCTCTAAGTTCTTGGTTCGTCTTTAATCCTCCTTGGGAATTTAGGACATCATAATATCTAATCTTTCTTCCGGTTTCTAAGGCATTGGGGTGGATCAGTGCCTCTATGATGGATACCCACCCTGGAATCTTCATATAGTGTTTATGTTTAATCTCTTTCCATACTTTCAATAATGAGCTTCGAATTGCATGCCTATTAAAGTGTATATATCTCTTATTTCCAGGGTTCCACATGAAGGCATGCTACCCCGCCTCTAGGTCGTGCCCTTCTAGGATTAATTTTTTTTTTATTCCTCAGATTAGCCCATTCTTTAATCCATGTTAAGATTGCTGCTTTATAATATATTTCCCAGGCAGGGAGTCCAAATCCACCTCTGCATCTATTATCTTGTAGTGAGCTTAATTTTATTTTCGCTTTTTTTCTTGACCTAATAAATTTCATGGTAATTTTGTTTAGTTCATTAAAGAATTTTTTATCTAATTTAATTGGAATGGTTTGAAAGAGAAATAGTATTCTTGGCAAGATTTGATGGTCGCAATTCTCCATAACGTAGTAGTCTCCCCCATTTTTCTAAATCCTTTTTTATTTCTAATACCAATTTTACATAATTATCTTCTTTTATTGTTGAACATATTGCCGTGAGCCAAATTCCTAGATATTTTTTTAACAACTTGTATACCCATTGCTTCTACTAATTTCTTTTTTAGTTTCTCTATTAAATTTTTTATTATCATTTTGGTTTTATCTTTATTAATTATTAAACCTGCCACTTCGTATCTATCTCTTTAGTTAATTTTAGTCCTGATTTAATTGGTTCTATGAACAATACAAGGTCGTCCACAAATGCTTGGCCCTTGTATTCTTCTTGTTTAATTCTTAGTCCTTTTATTTCTGAATTTTGTCTAACTCTCCTCAACAAAATTTCCAGTGTCGTGATAAAGGGCAGAGGTGAAAGTGGACATCCCTGCCTGATTCCTTTTCCTATTTCAAATGAATTTGTCATTTCTCCATTAATTATTATCCGTGCTTTTTGGCTTGAATATATTGACTCTAATGTTTTTTTTGAATTTATCCCCAAATTTCATCTCCTTTACTTGTTGTCTCATAAATTGCCAATTTACTTTATCGAAGGCTTTTGGGGCATCCTGAAAAACTAATGCAGCCTGTTTTTCTTGACGTACCTCGTATTACTCCAAGATATTGAGTACTGTCCTTGTGTTGTTTTTTAGTTGTCTTGTTGGATGAAAACTATTTTGATCTGTATGTATATATCTACTTAATATTTTTTTCAATCTCTCAGCCATTATATTCATAAGTATTGTAATCAGCGTTTAATAAAGAAATTGGTCTATAATTTATTATGTGGGTGGTATCTGCGCTCTCCTTCGATATTAATGTAATATATGCTTCTCTCCACGACATTGGTAGCTTTGCCTCTGTAAGTACTTCATTATAAATTTCTGAAAGGATTGGATCGAGTATTTCACCTAAGTTTTTATATAATTCTGCAGGTAGTCCATCTGTTCCGGGGGGTTTGTTGTTTTGTTTACTAATTGCCTCTTTTAGTTCCTCCTTAGTGATCCCTTCATTTAATCTTTCCCTTTCTTCTTCTGTTAGTATTGGAATATTTTCTTCCTCTATATACTGTTTGATTTTTTCTTTACTTATATCTTCTTGTTTATAGAGTTTACTAAAATATTCCAGTACTATTTCTTTTTTCTTTTCCATATTGTTTTGTATCTTTCCCTCCTTTTTTTTAACAAATTTTAATCAGTTTTTCACATTATAAACAAAAATCTCTTTTTAGAGGACAACATATTTCCAGGTCATCACCTTTACATACAAATATGACAGCAATTATACATTCATATATGCATACTTACTTCTATTATTACCTTTTCCATTCCAAATTTTCAGTAAAGAGAGAAACAAACACATTAATTCTAGCCTCTTTTATTAATCTCAATTGAAACATCTTTTTGTTTCATTTCAATTATTTCAAATATAATCCTTTAATATTTATTTTAAAAATAAAGGTAAACAATATATGTTCGCCTAATAATAATAATAATAATAATAATAATAATGTTACCAATGTCTCTCCTTGCTTTTAATAGTCTATATTAACTTATTAATTTAGTTGGTTCTTTAGTCTGTCATATTCCTTTTCCATTACACATTCTTTTTATAAATTCTAGATTAACACAAATTTTAACACTAAAAAACAAACAAGTTTAGGTTTCCCCCCCTTTTACTGTTTTGAGTGTGACACCTCAATGATTAAAACATACCTTTATTCCCTCATCTTGATTCCCAATAAACCATTATTTTTAAGAAGTAACAATAATAATCATTACATCTTTTCATTTGGATTCCGCAGCATATTTTCTTTATTCTGTTCTGCTTTCACTTTCTAAGATTCTTACTTTGTTTCAATATTTCTTTAATGTTACATCCACACAAGTTCATTCAGAAACAGGATGCTTTCCCTTTTGTTTGAGCTCAAGTTTTTGTCAAAAGGTGGCACTCTCCATTATACAAATTATACATTATACACCTTTTCCCCCTATTTTTTTATTTAGGGTTTTTCCAACCTCAATATTCCAGCACAGTCCAGTCTCCAATTTGTAAGCTTTATTATTATTATTTTTTGACAATCTTAAGTCCAGCTTTATTTTATGCCTGTTTATTCCCAAAATATTTTAGTCCAATTTAATTAAATCTTTAGTTCCAGCTTCTTCCTTTCCCAGTTCGAAGCCCCGCTTAGCTGTCAAAAATATTTTCTTTTTTCCCCCCTCTCCCTTAGTAATTTCACCGCTCACTTTTCTTTTCTTAAAAATTCCATGTTACCTTAATCCCAGGGTACTTTTGTTTAGTTGTATTGCCCAGTTGTCCTGGTTCAGATGTTATCCACCTCTTTCTTCCTTCCTTCACAAATCTTAATCCAGCTGAGTCCTCCTCTTCGGGGTGGCCATTTTAAACCACCGCTGCAGTCATCTTCAGGGGGAAAAAGGAGATGCGCCTCCCCTCAACCTGGCTTGCAGCTTCCCCTTACTCCGCCACCCCTCCAAGGCAGCTTCAGCCCCTAATCATAATAATTGGGGCTCTCCAACGAAAGAGCACGGACCATAGCCGCAGAGAGTCACGATCTACGGTCCGTCTGCGAGGAGGCTCTGCCTTCTTCCCATATCTTTTTCTCCTTATCT